AATGTTTTTTTTGTTTGTTTTTTATTTTATTATAATGTTTTTGTTTGTTTGTTTTTTGGGCTGATGTGCTAAAATTGTGTTTGCATTCAGTAGCCTATACGGCAGCATTTTTGTGCCATGTTTAAAACACATTTTACATTGTACACATTTTTTGCATATGGGCCCATGGCTGACTTGCTACGCCACTGAATAAGACTGATGTACCCGCGTTGTAACACAAATAAATGTAAGGTTTTTGGATTATAAATAAGGTATTTTCCCTTATTTAAAACGAATGCTTAGTTTGTGGTTCATTGTTCTTTTTTTACTGAAAACCCAGCAACAAAGACACTCACTTATAGGCTATTAAACGAATAGATGAAAGTTTTATTAACAAAAGTTGCGCTTTGGATCCGCCATCATATAGTGTCAGTCTTCTCGCATCACTCTTGTCACGTGACCCCCTTTCTATGTTTCTGCATGAGTTGCAAAATCTTACCAATAAAGAGCAAATAAAAGGCTGGTCCTCCTGTTATACAAAAATTACATTGAAGGTTTTTGCTGATGCTGACAAGTTTCACTGGAAAAAAGTTAATATTAGATTAAAGTCATACCAGAGTCAGGGTCATAAAGGGCTGTAACTTTGTCTCCTTCATCCAGTCCCTGCTTATTTTAAGAGAGAAGCTCATCAAAGACATTTGTTGTCTGGAGACAAACTCACCATGGATGGATACTGAGACAGTTATGGAACTAGAAGAATAGAGTCGTTCTCATTGTATGGCCTGCTATCTTCAACTTTGCAAAAGTTTTGACCAAATAAAGCAATAATGGGCAGATTAGGTCTTTATGTTATAGCAATGTTATTTTTAATCCTTGGACCCTGCATCGTGCAAGGTATGTTTTAATATAATATTGAAAATCAATTATTTTAATATTTGCATTCTTAATTTAATATTTTGCTGTACAGTATTGGCACTTGAAAATATGATTGTATTTAGATTCAGGTTTTTTGTAAAGTATGGTTTTGATGAATATTAAACAAACAATACACTCTCAGAAATAAAGATACAAAAGCTGTCACTGGCTTTTCTGTGCCTTTGTACCTAAAGGGTCCTTAAATTGTACATATTAGTATCTGAAAGGTACAAAAGTGTACCTTTTGAAAAGAGACTGCCTTAATGACAGCGTTTGTACTTTTTTTTTCTGAGAGTGTATGAAATAGAAGGATGTTACAATACTACAACAGGCCTCTCAACTGCTTCCAGTTTATCCCACTGTGAACATTTTGAATGTAATTAATTCAATTAAATTAATGAAACGGATGTAAATACTAAATATTTTTTGTCAAATTTAAACAATTTCTTTCAGGGAAACTACTTCGCAAACAAAAAGTAGCTAAATTTCAACTACATTTAAGTTACTCAAAAGAGTAACTGTATATGTATATATAATTTGTATATATAATATGTATATAATATATGTATATGTATATATAATTTTCAAATAAAAAATACAACTATCCAATGATGTAATTTAGAAATCAAAGTTATTTGCTGACACAAAAACAATGAAGCAATGGAAAATTTTGCAACTTAAGTTTGTTAATCTGCAAAAGTGAGTTTAATATTGCAAATTTTATGAGGTATCACATGAGGTAGAGTTCAGGTATTCTACACAGTAGCTCCTAAACCCATAAACAGAGTTACTCATTGCTAAGTTATTCGTTGCAAAACCGAGATTTTTTTCTCCTAAATTACCTAATAAACCTAAGTCCTCAGAGTCATTAAGATTTACTTTTACATCAACCTTCAGGTTCTGAACTTTTTCTAGATTGAACAAACCTTTGCTAATTTCTAATGAACTGGTGATGCCCACTTCTCAAACCACCAACAACACATTCTTTTGTCAACATGCACGCATAACATATCTGTCACATTTCCAATTGCAGCATGTGCTATTAGTTTATGTGATGTTTTGTCAAATTAGATTACCCGAGGTTGTTCAGACAAAACCCATTATTTTCTGAGCAGGTCAGTGCACCAGTGGTCAGTTCCAGTGTAGTAATGGTCAATGCATTAATCAAGACTGGAGGTGTGATGGAACAAAGGACTGCACAGATGACTCTGATGAGCAGAACTGTCGTAAGTATCTCTAGGTGAACAATGGCTTATTGGATTGACCCTTGACAAGGGTCATACATTTTCTCATTCTCTGTATTGTAATTTCAGCTTTACCCACCTGTAGCTCTCAGCAGTTCAAGTGCTTGACAGGAGGGGAGTGTATTCCTTTAGCGTTTGTATGTGATGGAGAACCAGACTGCACCGATGGCTCTGATGAGCAAAGAGCCTGTGGTATGATTATGTGCCTTAAATGACAGAAAGAATACAGTTATTCAGTAATAAACATATGAGTATTATCAGAGGTGGTCTATGACCCTGTTGTTTGTTTTCTAAGGTGGGCAGACATGTAGCCCAGACCAGTTCACCTGTCGAGAAGGGCAGTGCATTCCCAAACAATACAGATGTGACCATGTATCAGACTGTGTGGATAACTCTGATGAGAACAACTGCAGTAAGAATGTCTCTTTCTTCTATACAATGAAAAGAAATGTGGCACTTACAAGTAACAACACAGACTCCTATTTATCAGTATGCAGTACTTTTAAAAAATTGTCTGAAATTAGGAAAAAATATTTTAATTTTTTTATTTTTTTTGTCAATATTTTAATTATAATTAATTATTTGTTTCTTTTATTTAATTTTGTATATAATTAACTCCTACTGTTTTAACCTTAATTGAATAAAAATCTAACTATCTGTTACTGTTTCATAACAAATGTGCATGTTTAAAAGTATACTGTGCAAAAGTACAGCCTAGGCCTATAAAACATTTAAATAAATATAGTGGCAGTACTACCAGTACAGGTTACTATATTGGTTAATATATAGTAATAAAAAAATTGTCAGACATTCAGAAAATTCTAAATATCATTTGAATAAATAATTATATTATTTCTTAACAGATATAACACATCTAACACATATTATTTGTAGTTGTTAATGATATTCTTTGTACCAGAATTTAAACTTCAAAAACTAAAATTAATTGCAAACAGGGCTGTATTGAATGTCACAAAGGTCCTTAGCAATGTTATCTTTACGAGACAAAAAGCATATGACTCTTTTAAATTGTCCAATACACATAAAAATCTCAAGATAAATCAGTTACCAAGGAATTGTCAGATTTTGTCTCCATCATCAGGTTTTAAAATTCCAATAAAATGCAACAAATTTCCTCTTGCTGAATCCAGATTACCCAGCCTGCACAGAGAAGACATGTGCTAACAGCGCTTGCTACAACAACACTCAGCACTGCGACGGGATATTAGACTGTCGAGATGGATCAGATGAATCCAATTGCAGTGAGTGAAAGTGTAGTGATCAATCAGATGTCAGTGAAGCATGTTCAGATGAATGTTCAACATCTGACCATGTACATCATGGTCATTGTCTTTCATTCCTCAAACAGCAAGGCGTTGCCAGTCGCATCAGTTTGAATGTGCCAGTGGATACTGCATCCCAATGCCCTTTGTCTGTGATCACTGGGATGACTGTGGAGACAACAGTGATGAGCAAAACTGTGGTGGGTTCCACAACACATCTCGAGCATTCTACCAAAGCCACATGGGTTACAAAGATAATCTTTTAGAAAGTAAATGTGGGTGTTCAAAATATACATCAGGTCACTGATAAAAGTACCATGTACTTCTGAGTACCATGTAAATACTATAGTGCATAGCTTACTTGTAGTTGTTTCTGATATTATAAAGCACTGCTATTTTGTCTTCTTCCAGAGTATCGGACCTGTAGTGGGTCAGAGTTCACCTGCAGTAATGAACGCTGTATGCCTCAGCAGTGGGTGTGTGATGGCATCAATGACTGTGGGGACTTTAGTGATGAAAATGGATGTGGTGAGATTCAGCTCTCTCCTATCAATATGCAACAGATTAAATTAGGAAAGCATATGGTAAATTAGTTAACCCTATATGCTCATTCTTTCAGACCCAGGCATACGAGAATGTTACCCTGGCGAATGGCCCTGTCCAGGCTCTTCAATGTGTGTTCCCGTAAACAAAGTGTGTGATGAACATCCTGACTGCCCTGGTGGAACAGATGAGAGCAATAGTACAGCACATCTGACCTGTGGTAAATTAAATTAAATGTTAACAATTTTGTGTCGATCAGCATGTTACTCACAGTACTCATAAATGTTAATGTAATGATATGTTGTCAAACATTGACAAGTTAACATTAGCAAGTTCCCTAACAAGTTCAAGTTCAAGTTCAAGTTGAGCTTTATTGTCATTCTGCTACATGTGGGGACATACAGTGGAACGAAATGTCGTGCCCCACAGGACCACGGTGCTACATAAATACAGGCATACAACAATGAAGTAAAACAGTAAAACCTATACACAACTAGCCTACTGACTGATTTTGACTATAAATATACTATATATATAAATGTTTACCTATATATAAATTTAAAAAATACAAACTATACGATTGCTTCACATAAACACTGTACCTATACACAACTAACCTACTGACAGATTCTGACTATGAATATACTATATATAAATGTTTACCTATACATAAATTAAAAAAATACAGACTATACGGATGCTTCACATAATACTGTACATGTGCAATGTCCAGGATGGAGGGGAGAGGGGCAGCTGTGCAGCTGTGTTCACTGTCCGCTGGAGGGTCTTGCGGTCTGCTGCATTATAGATGCCAGTTCATCTATAATGAATATGCATAACCTCAACGAAACCCTGAGTATTACAGGACAATTTAAAGTAGTGTATTTTAAGTTAACTCAAGTCCCAAAGATACTTAAAGTAACTACCTACAAAAACTGTCTCTCTTGTAGATTTGCATCAGTGTTCTGCTCTGAGCTGTGAGTACCGCTGTCATCCCAGCCCGCAGGGTGGAGCATGCTACTGCCCCGATGGCTTCACTGTGGCCAATGACAGTCGCACTTGTGTGGGTAAGTGCCACGAGACCCCTTTATTATCTGATTACAAATCAGATTTCTATCTACATCTGGATAATGTCACATCATGCTAGAAAGAATAATCATTGTGAGTTTATGAGTTCCTTAAAGGTAATGCATTTTTTTATTATTTTATAATGTTTCCTGAGGTATATTTATAGTCTTATATTCAAATATAATTCTTAGGATTTGTTCATCAAAAATGGTCATAATTTAGATATAAATGTAAATTTTCCACCCTTAATTTAACCCTCTGATTTGAATGTACAGTTGGAAGGGGCTTGTCTGCTATGAGAACTCAATGTAAATGCCCACTTTTCTCTTGTTTTTACTGTAACAGCCACTAAGATGAACTAATCATTAAAAGTGTTGTTTATAGCATTGTTTCTTTTTTCTGCTGTGGCATAGTTTTGATAAGTAAAAAATCCCACCGCACACGCATACCACTAAGCACTGAAATGTAGCAACAACAACAAAAAAAGATTGCATTGTTATGAAAAGGTGAAATCCTTTAAAAATCTAGTTGCAAGTTCTCAATAAAGTATTACCTTATGCCTCATAAATGTGATTACACCTAATCATTATTATAGTTTTCAAGTAATTTTTAAGGTGTTATAGTTTTCATTTTCATTGGTTATGCAGCACTGACTGATTAAATGTTTATCATATTTTAAGACAGAACTGATTTACTGCTTATTTGATTAGAGAAATGTTATATATAAAAAAGATTATGCCAAACTAAGAAAAGAATTTTAAAGAATTCCAGCCATTTAATTCGTTTTTTTTTTCTTTGGTACAAGCTAGACATTTGCATAAGTGTATTTTTGGTTAGATCAGGACAACTGAAATGAGTCGTGTTATTGACCCATGTATGTGGTTTCCCCTCAGACTACGATGACTGTAAAATTTGGGGTATTTGTGATCATTTCTGTGAGGATCGCCCAGGCACACATCACTGCAGCTGTGCAGATGGATACTTCCTAGAGCAGGGTCATGTCTGCAAGGCCAATATTTCAGGTGAGTGGAAACTAAAACTGGAACAAATTGTTTTTTTTTTTATGTGCTAAATGTGTCAAACATAATGCATCATTAGTGGTATTTGTAAGTCCATATGAATTTATTTAAATCTATGTCAGTGCCTCAAACTGTTTGAGTTCAAGATTTTAGTACAGGATCACAGCAGCCCTTCTAACAGTACTATGAATCTCATTAAAAGCATCAGTTAAAGATAATCTGCCTACATTAAAAGCACTACTGGGGACAATTTAGTACAGTAGTTATTGGCTAATAAGTAGGGTGGCCATATGTGCCATTTATACGGACACGTCCTGGCCATGATTTTTATATTGCCTAAAACATCCAAAGTGGTTTGACCAATAACATACAGGTATTTGCACATAATTGACCAATCGCGGCGCGTCGCACGTGAGAAGGTGAGAACGATGAAAGCTATGCAAATACGCACATGAATTCGTTTGTTCGACTTGAAGCACCGATCATTGTATGACACCAAAGTGCCGCGAGAATGATTCGAAAGCATAAGGAGCCGTCTGCTCTGCTCTCTATAGCTATCGTGAAATAATGTCATACAACGACCGATCTGCACAGTGCTAACAGCCGAAACCTGGATATTTTAGGCAATATAGAAATCCTGGCAAGGGTGCGTCCCATAAAAATGGCCCGTATGGTCACCCTACTAATAAGTAATAAAGACAAAGTACAGAAAAGTACAGTTTAATATAATAATATTGTGTTTTGCTATACAAAATGCACAATTATGTTGTTTGTTGCAATCTGTAATTTGCATTTACTTTTTAGTTTAGTTAGTTTTTTTCACTGCTGCCCACCATACAGATGGCTTCACCAGATGAGAACCACTATAGTACTATGATGCAGATAAAATAGAATTGTTTTTGTTGTGCACAGCATTTCAGCTAATATTACCGATAGCACATTGTAATGTCCCTTGTCCTCTTTGTCCTTACAGGGGGTTTACCACAGCTGATCTTCACAGATGGTCGTGATATCAAGATGGCAGATATTCATGGGCGGTTTGTAAGGCTTCTGGTCCAATCAGATGGTAAAGGTTATGCTGTGGGTGTCGGTTACAACTGGCACACTCAAAGGATTTTCTGGACAGACACCAATTCTCAGAAGGTGTTTAATGGTTTATAGTGTGAAATTGCATTGTACATATGAAAACAGTTATATTTAAAAAAAAAAACATATATATGTATTTTTCAGGTTTACTCCATAAATTTTGATGGTAGTGAAAAGATGGAGGTGCTGTCTGAAGCAGTGCACAATGCCCAGAATCTGGCTGTGGACTGGATCAACTTTAAGTTGTACCTTGTTGAGGAACGTGTGGAGAGAATTGAAGCATGTGATTACGATGGAGGAAACCGTGTCACGCTGATCGCAGAAAACTTGGTGACCCCTCACGGGCTTGCTCTGGACCCAACAGTGGGGTGAGTACAGTATGTTTGTGGATGTGATTCATTGTGTTGTAAAGGAATATTGAACTCATACTTGTGGTCTAACCTATCTCCTACAGATACATGTTCTTCACAGACTCTGGCTATAACACAGATGATGTTAAATTGGAACGGGCATTCATGGATGGCAGTAACCGGTTTGAGCTGGTTAAGACCAGACTGGGTTCCCCTACTGGAATCACCTTGGATTTGGTCACTAAGAGGGTTTACTGGACAGATAGCCATTTTAACCTGGTTGAGACTGTTACATATAGTGGCTTGGACAGGTATTGTACTCCACAAATCACCAATTTAAACCTTTCCAGAACATGTAAGTCAGTGGTTCTCAACCAGGGGCCTGGAGCCCACTAGAAGGCCTATAAATCGTTTGATGAAACATTTTGGACATTTCATATGTTCTCATTTAGAATCAATCCCAATTTTAAAAGTCTAGACATTTAAAAGTCATGTAAATTAATGAAATTTTATTACTCTATCTTCATGGACATATTGATGTTATATTTTATATAACATATTTATAGTTATGTTAAGCTCTAAAATATTTTATCAGGTAGAAAGAAATTTTTTTTTTAAATCCTTATCCTTAATGCTTATCCAGTAAATCACGAAAAACTGGAACAGTCATGGGGCCTTTGAATATTGTTATAGACTGGACAGTTGGGGGCCTTAGAGTCAAAAAGGTTGAGATAGTTTTGATATAGTTTTTTTTTTTTTTTATTTACGTTTATATATGTGTAATCAAATATGCCACTAGGAAAACAGTGTTGAATGGCGGTCATCAGGTCCCCCACCCATTCGGGATTTCGGTGTTCGAGAACCATGCCTTTTTCACAGACTGGGTCAAGATGGGTGTGATTCGGACCAACCGCTTCAATGGCAGTGACCCAACTTTTCTGTACCGCTCTACTAACAGACCTGGACAAATTGTGGTTTCCCATCCAGCTCTTCAGCCCTTTGGTGAGACAAAGTTTGTTGTTATAATGCAAAGTGTAAAATACTTACAAAATATGAACAAGGAGGACACATTGCAACATTAAGTATATAATATCTGGCCTTTGTCTGACTGCAGTGATAAACCCATGTGGCAGACACAATGGTGGGTGTCAGCAAATCTGCCTTCTGAGTCACCGTACTGACAACGACGGGCTGGGTTACCGCTGCAAATGTCGCCTAGGATACGACCTTCAGGATGATCGCCACACTTGCTTTAGTGAGTGAGAGAGCCTGCCTGCCAAATCATGAAATGCACTGTTGTTGAATTAGATGGTCATATACTGGGATAGGAGAGTGTATTTTTTTAACATTGAACATTTTTGTTTTCAGTTTCAGCTGTACCAGATCCTCTGAAACAAACATGTTTTCTCTTTCAGAGATTAGAGATTATTTACTGGTGGCAAGTGCACAAGCAGTCAGGGGGATTCCTCTTAACGTTTCGTCCCAAGAGGATGTCACCCTGCCACTCGCTGGCATGGCCCAATCCTTCTCTGGTTCTGGAGTGGAGTACGATGCGTCAGTGGAGACTGTGTTTTACAATGACCGAATGCGACAACTCATTTACAAATCACCCATTAATGGAACCAGTAAGTGGAAAACACAACATTTTCTTTTTTGTTTGTTTGTTTTTTTAACAGATAAACACTAAACTGGCCAAGTACCACCTTTGACTGATTCCAAACAGCAATGTTAAAATTAATCAGCAATTACAAATACTGTAAAACGTGGAAAAATAAATAAAAAATAAAATTACAAGTATTTATAAAATAAATAAAAATTAATATATTCTGTTGTTTTCATTAACATTTGAATAAAATCTAAAAATATACAGTATCTCACAGAAGTGAGTACACCCCTCACATTTTTGTAAATATTTTATTATATCTTTTCATATGACATCGACCATGGCGAGGCCTGTTCTGAGTGGAACCTGTACTGTTAAACCGATGTATGGTCTTGCCCACCGTGCTGCAGCTCAGTTTCAGGGTCTTGGCAATCTTCTTATAGCCTACGCCATCTTTATGTAGAGCAACAATTATTTTTTTCAGATCCTCAGAGAGTTCTTTGCCATGAGGTGCCATGTTGAACTTCCAGTGACCAGTATGAGAGAGTGAGAGTGATAACACCAAATTTAACACACCTGCTCCCCATTCACACCTGAGACCTTGTAACACTAATGAGTCACATGACACCGGGGAGAGAAAATGGCTAATTGGGCCCAATTTGGACATTTTCACTTAGGGGTGTTCTCACTTTTGTGGCCAGCGGTTTAGACATTGATGGCTGTGTGTTGAGTTATTTTGAGGGGACAGCAAATTTACACTGTTATACAAGCTTTTGATTGAAACAAGCAAAATAATCTGCCAATGGGGTAAGCAAAATAATCTTGTTTTCTGTTTGAAATAAGAGAAATTATTTTTACTTGTCTAGAAAATCCTTCTTGATTTAAGAATTTTTAGATATTTTGGCTGGAAACAAGAAAAAATCTAAGTAAGAAAATCATTTTTTGCAGTGTTTGTGTAACACAAATTAGTTTCACTTATTACTTTTCAATGTCAGAGAAGTAGAGTTTATTTTCTTACAAAATACTGTCCTGTAAAATAAAGAAAGTTTTTTCACTAAACGTGCTTCTGTTCTTATATCTCAGAGAATGAGATCCTGACAGGTTACAGAGTGGGCTCTGTGGAGTCAATGGCATATGATTGGACCTCTCACATCCTCTTCTGGACATCCAGCACTTATCGCACCGTTTCTGCTTTTAAAGTAACAGATGGATCAAGACGGGACATTGTTCAGAACTTAAAATACCCCCGGGGTATTGCTGTGCACCCCAGTGCAGGGTATGAGACATCATGGGCAAGAGTACATCATTCAGAATAAAGTTTTGTGCTAAATAAAACATACATAGCATGTCCTGTAAATACAGAGGAACATAATGAAATATAAGACCCAATTAACCATTAGCTGTTCTTTAGATTTGAGCATTTGTGTGTGATTTTATTAGATGGATTTTTATGGAACTTACTGGACAGCTCTATTTTGTTCCCCTAGATACCTCTTCTGGTCTGATTGGTACCGTCCAGCTGTGATCACCAGAGCATACACAGATGGAAGCAATGCTGTTCCACTAATCAACTCAACACTCGGCTGGCCTAACGGACTTGCCTTGGACTACCTGTAAGGAGATCATTTTACAATCAATAGTTTCCTGTACCTATACACTTTGATTTCTCAAAGAGTTCTGTTTATAAATGAGATGAGTTTATTCACATTTCATTGTGCTTTGATCGCAACACAAGGATCAGTTTGAACTTAAAAAAAAAAAAGCTTATTTTTGTGCTCAATAGGATGGATAGGCTGTACTGGGTTGATGCGCAGCTAGACCAGATTGAGCATGTGAGCATTGATGGGCTAGATAGACAGGCCTTCTCCAGTATTGGACAAATCACTCATCCTTTCTCGCTTACAGTACACACAGGTTGGCACTTCTGTATTTCTTCATTCTTCGCATGGCCATTATGATGCTGATGTTACGATTATGTTCAACTAAATCAATTTAATACATGTTTTTAAATTTTTTCACTGACTGATCTGCCTCCACCATATTTGTTAGATCATCTGTTTGTGTCAGACTGGAGGACAAATTCTGTTTTCCGAATGAGGAAGAGGGATGGTGGGGAAAATATAATACTACGAAAGGGCATCTCAGGCATAATGAACGTTAAGGCCTACTCAGCTGATCTCCAGAACTGTGAGTGACACAGAAAAACTGCTGTCTTTTAATCCAATTTACTGGAATTTTGTCGATTTTACTGCATTTTTAGACATGTTTTGACATGATGATGACAGTTTTGGGTCAATGATAAAAAAAAAGAAGAAGAATTAATCATAAAATAATGTTAATATAATAATAATTATAATTTTTTAAAAATCATTCTTTAAATTTTTTTTTCTTGATGCCAAGACAGTTGTATCACCTTGATATTTTGACTTTATACACCACAAGAAAATATTCAAATGAATTTTAATTCAGAAATTGAACACATGCTTATCATAGAAGAGGTTTATTCATTTCACTGAATGAATTATTTTTTATTGTATTTTTTAATAAATTAATAAATAGGACATACAATTGACCCTTGTACATTTTAGATGTGAGTTGTTATTTGTCGCAGTAAGGGATAATCAGCTACTGTAATCTCATTGCTGTGTAGTGTTCAAAAGCAGATGCAATCTGATTCCAAACGGCCGCTGCAGCCACTTCTGTTTCCCTATGCCTGCATCCAACCGTGTGTGCGGATGTCCCTATGGAATGAAACTGCAGGAGAACCAGAGGGACTGTGTGAAGGATGATACTGAGCCCCCACCAGATGATAACTGCGGAGACTATGCCTTTCCCTGCGACGGGGGCCGCTGTGTGCCAAATTCTTTCCGCTGTGACGGTGTGAATGACTGTGCCGACAAGACAGATGAAGCCAACTGCACAGATCCAGGTGTGTATGTACATGTGAGTGTGCTTGAGCACCATCTAAAGACCTAGACATGTCTATGAACATCTCCTTTCAACATTTTTATCAGGAACAACCTGCTCTCCATATGCCTTCACCTGTGGGAACAAGCACTGCGTCCCTGCTAGTTGGCGCTGTGATGGGCATGATGACTGTGGTGATGGGACCGATGAAGATAACTGCCCAACACGTGTTCCAACTACCTGCTCATCCAGCCAATTCGCTTGCGCTAACGGAAACTGCATCCCAAAAGCATGGGTGTGCGATGCCTTCAATGACTGTGGCGATGGTTCTGATGAGAGACAGTGCAGTGAGTACTGAAGATTTTGGAGAAAATTCAGAATAAACATGAACAAGGTTCAGTGAATATGCAGAAATGCTAATTGGCAAAGACAATTTCATAAAAACATTCCCAGAAGCTCAGCCCATGTACATAAATAAGACTTTTTTTAACCACTTCCAGATTCCACTATCACCACCTGCCAGCCTGGCTTCTTCCTGTGTCCAGATCACCGTTGTATATATAACTCATATGTCTGTGATGGAGACCAGGACTGTTTAGATGGATCTGACGAGAAGGACTGTGGTAAGGCAGTGATTTAATTTGAATTTGAGGTATTGGTATACTCAAAAGATCCACTTAGTTGGCATGAAATGAAAAATAATTTCATTCTAAATGCATGTTGTCGATTTTATTGTGACTAATTCATGTGTGCATGTTGCATTAAAATAATTTTTTTTTCACCTTATAATCAAAATACCTGATTTATTGAAAATGTCTGATTAATCAAAATATCTGGACCTTCTGGTGACAGTGACAGAATTATGTCTGTTGACGTACACAGGACTTCTCCAATTATTTAATCTGTTTAAACCCCGCCCTTGCTCATGTTCATCTGCATTCACTTTTAAAAGTAATGCCTACATCTCAAAATCCAATCAACAATCAATGCATAAAACCAAGTCCTGGCCCTACATTTTTTCTGTCAATAGTTTGTTACACTTGAATGTACATCACAACATGAAAGAAAAGATCCGTAGCTACACTTCTGTTTCATTATGACTTTATGTACCATGGATGACATGGATGTTGTGTGTTTATGGGTAGAGTACTCCTGTGCAACATATGAGTTCGCATGTGCCAGTGGAGATCAGTGTGTGAGTCTGAGTTACCGCTGTGATGGGGTTTATGACTGCAGGGACCACTCAGATGAGAGCGGCTGTCGTAAGTTATATGTGTTTAGAAGTACTCTTTCAGCTCTTTTTCTTTTTTCAGCTTTTAACTCTTTTTGGGGGAAATAACAGATTAGGATGATGTGAATCAATCTTTACATATTTCTTTTAATTGATATAAGGCACTTTTAATCAATAGGGTACATAACAGGGCCTGCAATTTTTACATTTATTGTCAGCCTAAAACTATTTTAATTTAAAAATTAATTTTCCAGAAGGTTTACAAATTTCACAATATCTAAATATGGTTCATTTCCTAATGATAAGCATTAAACATCAAAATTAAAAATAAATAATAACAACAATGTATCATTGTTTAGTTATTGCTGATAATTTGTCTAATGTATCTAATAGTTTAAGTAACAGAACATGGGATTATGACATACAAATTATAATTTTTATATGGATAGAGGCTACTAACTGTGTATCTAGTTTGTAATCAATTTTTGTATTATTAATTAGCAATTAGTGTTAATAAAATAATGCTAGTGATGACTAATAACTGGTATTTCATGTGCAGCCACACGTGGGCCAGGTCTATGCCATGACAATGAGTTCCAGTGCCAGGTTGATGGATTCTGCATTCCGAAAACGTGGGAATGTGATGGCCATCCAGACTGTGAGGATGGCTCTGACGAGCACAATGGCTGCCCACCCCGAACCTGCAGTTCTTACCAGTTCCAGTGTGCTAATGGAAACTGTGTGCCTCAGAGCTGGGTTTGTGATGGGGATAATGATTGCAGGGATATGAGTGATGAAACCAACTGTCCCACTCCACCATTCAGCTGCCCATCAGGTCAGTGGTTGTGTCCCACAGACCAGGTGTGCATCACAGATGCTCAGGTGTGTGATGGCCAGAGAGACTGCCCCAATGGAGCTGACGAGTCTCCCCTCTGCAGTAAGTACTGCTGTTGAAAACAGATTTATGTATTAATATCTGATGTTGATGAACTATTCAAATTGTTTTTCTGTCTCTTTTCTTTCTCACTGTTTGCCTTATTAGATGAAGATGACTGTCAGGTAAATAACGGAGGCTGCAGTCATGGTTGTATTCAGGGTCCATTTGGAGCTCAGTGTACCTGTGAACCAGGATTCCAGCTGCTGAACGACTCAAAGACCTGCGACGACATAAACGAGTGTCTGATCCCTGGATTCTGCAGTCAAACCTGCTACAATGAGCGTGGCTCCTTCCGATGCTACTGCCAAGATGGTTACCAGCTGGAGCCCGATGGACGTACATGCAGAGTCACATGTAAGCATCATATCCATCACATACACATCAAAAATGACTGGCCCAAGACTTTATGAAGTATAACATGTTGCTGAATTGCATTTTTAGTTAAATGGCAAATGGTTTTAATGCTAGTTCACACTGTTCCAACAAACACCAAATCCATATAATACTTAAAGTAATAAGTATTATAAGGACACAAGGATCTGCTCTAGCTCCAGGTGATGCTTTACTTCTGGTGGCCAGACGCAGCCAGATCAGTGCTAACCGCATCTACTTCAGGCCACCCCTTATTGTTCCTGTTGTCAGTGGCACAAGCATTGTTGCTGTGGACTTTGATAATGTCAATAAACGAGTCTACTGGGGTGATTCATCTGAGAAAATGATCTATAGTTCTTTCCAGAATGGCACAGACAAAAAACAGGTAACTACTAAGAAGAAATGAAGGTCTAGTTGTCTTAAGATGGCTTATGCATTTCATGTCATGCATATATTACTTATATGTTCATCAACTACTGTTTGGGATTAACTCATTTGATGATGCTGGTATGTTAGGTTTTCTCTTCAGGCCTGATGGTACCTGAAAGCATCGCAGTGGATTGGGTGGGTAGAAACATTTACTGGACCGACTACGTCATGGAAAACATTGAAGTATCTACTCTGGACGGCCGTTTCCGGAAGGTTTTGATTACCAAGAATGTTACCAGCCCTCGCGGACTGGCTCTAGACCCCCGCAGCTAGTATGCATATTAACATATTTACTGATTTGTTTCTGTTTTGAGAGAATGCAACAGTACTAGGATTAGTTCACCCATTATCACCCATTACTGTCATTATTTACCCTCGTGTCGTTTTAAATCCATAAGACTTTTGTTCATTCACTTTTGTTCATTCACTTTTGTTCAACAGAAATGGCATATAATATGGTAAACAGAAGCTCATCAAACTCCACTGAATGATGCACAAGAACAAACATCATTAGTTCTTGTGTAAGTCATTGGTTCTTGTGTGTCAAGAAAGCACATCTGAGCTTCCGTTGATCATATTTTATGCAATCTATGCATGTATGTGGATGTTTATATGTAAGTACAAGCCTAAATTAAATATGTTCATTATATAAAGTGATCACGTCTCTTCAGAAGACTTGATTAAACCACTCGATTCATATGGATTACTTTTACAATGTCTTCATGAACTTCTGACGTCAAAGTTTTCAATGTGGGGACTGAAATCTTTCAAGTTTTATTTATGTATTTATTTATTTATTTTTTGTGTTAAGAAGATGAAGGAAAGACTTTTGGCTTTGGAATAACATGAGGATGAATAAAAAAAAAATCTGTGCGTTAATTATTGTTTCAAGATCACATTTTTTTGGTTTTTAAGGTCTTGTATCATAAAATTATAATTCCTTCTGTTTTCTTCTCAGCACCAATGTAATGTTCTGGTCAGACTGGGGTCAGAACCCTCGAATAGAGCAGGCTAGTATGGACGGATCTGCAAGAAGAGCAATTGTGACTAACAAGGTATACTGGCCCAACGGACTTACACTGGATTACACAACTAGAAGACTATACTTTGTTGACGCCTACCTGAAATATATTGACTACTGTGACTACGATGGCAAAAACAGGCATCAAGTCTTTGCAAGTGACATGGTAACCATTTAAAGTCCCTGGTTAAAATCCATCTATATTTTACATGAAATATAAGTCACAGTATGGTTTATCTAATGTTGTATTTTTTACTCATCACTTCCTACCGTCCCCGTGTCTGCAGGTTCTTCAGCAACCCCATGGCATAACCATCTTCGAAGACAACATATACTGGAGTGACCGCTACACAAGCCAAATCATGAGGACTAACAAATTTCATGGAGGAAACATCACCACCCTTCTGACCAGTGTGTACCAGTGCATGGGTATCGCCATGGATCACCCCGTCAAGCAGCCTTTAGGTTAGCAGGTTATTAATGAAAGGAGTGTCTTTTTTTTTAGTTGACTAACATAGTCTGTTGGATCCCATACAGGACTTAACCCCTGTGAGAACCATCAATGCAGTCAGCTGTGTCTGCTATCAACCTTAAGACCACGATACTACAGGTGTGACTGCCAGTCTGGCTGGACCCTTGCCAGCGATAGTCGTACTTGTACTAAAGGTCAGAGTCTTGGCAAAATGAGCATGTGCCAATTGAGTTCTTGAGGTCTAATAGCCTTTCACTTGACTTAATGGTGCTATAATAATTTTTTTTCCTAGATGACACACCATTCTTGACGGTCGTCAGAGATACAGTAATTATGGGAATTCCTCTCAACCCCAGTGACACATCCAACAATGCCATGGCACCAATTTCAGGCATCACACAAGGCCGAGATATTGATTTTGATGATCAAGAGCAGTTTGTCTACTGGGTGCAAGGCACTGTAAGTTAATCAGACAATTTCTTAGAGCATTGTTTTAGAATTAACCTATGACATTACTCATAAATTGACAGTATTTTTAACTATTACAAAATATTTTGCTTTCACGTTCTTTCTATTTTCTTGTGTTATATATGTATGCATGTATGTATGTACCCAGATCTCCTGGAAACCACAACAAATACCTTGTGTGTTTGGGCACACTTGGCCAATAAAGCTCGTTCTGATTCTGATTCAAATTAGTAAAGCAAAATAATACTGAAAGATTGTGAAAATGAAAAATGAAGTCTTTATAAAAATAAAAAGAAAGAAAAACAATAAAATTGAACCAAATAGTACTGTTTATCATGAAAATATTGTTGATTCCCCCACCCCCCAGGGCTCAATTTATAGAATTAAGACAGATGGGTCCAATCGAACTCAGTTTGCACCAGCTGCTATCATTGGTTCCCCCTCCGGTCTTGCTTTTGATTGGATAACACGGATCATGTACTACACTAATCCCACTGTTAAGGCCATTGAGGTGAACAACATTTCTTCACACATTAACAGACTTTATCATATATGATATATCATCAGATATATTATTGAATTAAGTTATTTCTAATTATTTGTTTATTTATTGTTATTTTATTTTTATTTTCACTTGTCTCCCCCCAAAAGGTCATTAGGGTTGATGGATCTCAACATTACAGGAAGACAATCATCACAAACACAGGGAAACCAGAGGGAGCTGGAGAGCCAATAGGAATAGCTCTTGATCCAGCCAGAGGGTAAACACTTTTGTGACTAGTATACATTTGTCCTACACTAATTTGTTATTAAGTGTTAGTTATTAATGTACTGTCTACATCCTCTCACCATGCAGGACACTGTTCTGGACAGACAGAGGTTCAGATAGTGGAGTTCCACCAAAGGTGGCAAGTGCAGACATGGATGGTGGAAACCTCAGAAACCTCTACACTGGCAACCTGGGCAATGTTGAGTTCATCGCTGCAGACATAGAGGCCAGGAAAATCTACTGGGGTGTCCCTCAAACTGGGATGGTGAGAAACATACACTTGTTCATAAATCCTCATGTGGAAATAAGTAATCATGCACTTGTTCTATTTTCCTGGCTTTTAACTTCTCTGTGATCGGCAGATTGAATGTGGAACGATGGATGGTGCAAGCAGGGTGACCATCGTGAGCGGCCTGTCTCACCCCTGGGGCATCACTGTGTACCAAAACTACCTTTACTACACTGACCTTGACTATGAGGTCATTGAGAGAGTGGACAAGAACACAGGCGCAGACATGGTGGTGATGAGGAGTGGCATGGCAGGGGTGCGGGCACTGAAAGTGCATGCCAGAGACAGTAAGTGAAGCATTACAGTTTGCACTTTACTTTAAATAAAGGATAATTTTACAGGAGTTGCAAGATGTCACCTATGAACTCTGCTAACTTGTTGAAAAGTGGTGATACAAGATAGTAGCACTGGTATGTTGCCAGTGGCTAAATATTCAGTTTAGCGGTCATTACAAAATATTTGACATCTACATGCCAAAACTGACCATTCAGAAATATTAGTAAGTAATCTTACTAATACATTTTAACAGGCACAATTTAAGACAAGCCGAAAGTGTAATCCTCTGGATTTGAACTTTTGTTAAAAATCATTCACTATGTTCTGTTTACCATTAATTCTTTAAAACCAGACTCTGCTGGCACTACCAATGCTTGCAGTACGGACAATGGAGGCTGTCCCCACCTGTGTCTGCCAAAACCTGATGGACAAAAGACATGCGCCTGCACCACAGGTTTTATCCCATCTCAGGATGGGTCTCACTGTGAACAGTATGACTCTTATGCTATAGTGTCCTCTTCCAAATTTATTAGAGGATTCCACATCAACAGCTCTGACCACTCTGAGGCCATGGTTCCTGTTGGAGCAAGTACGTATTGATTACAGTATGCTAAACAGTTTGATCTCTGTTAGAGAAGTAGTAAATTAATTCAATTTAATATTTTTCAAATTATTACATTTAAAAAAAGAATACATTTTATCATGTGATGTAGCATTTTGTACTAAAAAACATAAAATGCTTTTATTCTGTAGATACTTACTCAGTTCTCAGCAAGCTGGAAATGCACATCGCCTCTGGATTCCTGTACTGGATTAATAACAGCACCTACTCATCCTACAGAGGCATTTACAGGACAAAGACAGATGGCTCACGCTATTCTACTGTCATCAGTCAGTTAGGCACTGGAAGGATTCAGGGCTTGGCAGTAGATTGGATCGCAGGTAAATAAATGTGAAAGTGACACCATGTATACTGTAAGAGTTGGTTGTATGTGTTTATATATCAGGCTGATTCTTTTCTTTTTTTATGTCAGGAAACTTGTACTTCACTAATGCATATACCTCTCAAACATACCTTGAGGTGTTACGTCTGAACACAAGCGTTCAACTTATCCTGCTGAAGAGTTCAGTGGATCGTCCCCTAGATCTTGCCGTCAGCCCTAAATTGCGTCTCCTCTTCTGGACTGATGCTGGTCAGTCACCCAAGATTGAGAGCGCTCTTTTGGATGGTACCAATCGGACAGTTCTTGCCTCTGAGAGCCTGTCATCCCCCCGAGGGTTAACAGTCGATTACACCAATGACTTATTGTACTGGGTTGATGACACACTGGATATGATTTCCTGCATGGCATCCGATGGTTCTCAGCGGCAGATTGTACGCTACGGAAGTCGCTACCCCGCGCCATACAGTGTCGCTATCTTTGGCGAGTACATGCTGTGGGTGGATCGCAAACTGGGCAAACTGTTCCAGGCCAGCAAGAGTCCTGGGAATACAGACATGCCAGAGGTGATCCGAGATGGTATAGAGGATCTGACAGACATTGGAGTGTTCGACTCCCATGTTCAGCCCACTTCTGCCAACCTGGTGGGTTTTAACCCATGCCAAGAGGACAACGGGCGCTGTCAACAATTTTGTTTTGCAATGCCCAAGCAGCAACAGCCCAAATGTGCCTGTGCCCATGGTTCTCTGCTCAGCAATGGAGTCTCATGTGGCTTTGGCCTGGATGAGTACCTGATCTTCACCACGGATTACACCGTGAACAGCATGAGGCTGGACCCAGAAGACCACAGCACCCCATTTCCCACCTTTACCCTGGGCTATGGTGTTTTAGCCACAGAGTTTGACTTCCAGGACAAGAGAGTGTTCTTTACCCAGTATGTGGCTTTAGGCAGGAGTAAAATAGGATACATTCTAACCACCAGCAGCACTAGCCCACCGATCACCATAGCCAGTGGTAGAGTCTAAAGCTTTAATATAATCAGAATGAGTAAGCCGAAACTATCCAGTAACAATGTTAAAGTGTTCTCTGCTTTCTTTTCATCTGTTAGATCTGGATGATCCTGAAGGTCTGGCCTATGATTGGATCCACAAGCGTCTTTATTTCACAGATTATTACAATAGGAGTGTGCAGTCTATGGGAATAGATGGCCAAAACCGTTCCTTCATTGCACATGGTGACCGCCCCAGAGCCATTGTGGTGGATCCCTGCTATGGGTAAGAAATGTTCAGTCTTAAAATTCTCAACTAAACCCTGGGTTAACAGAATATGGGTTATCTTTTTTTCCATATTTCACTCTGTTCATTAGAGCTGCATGATTAATCGAAGATAAATTGAAACCACAATATGGCTTTGTGTGATTATCCAATTGCAAAGTTAGTGATAGTGATTTGTTTTTCTGGCTGAACCATCCAGTTTGTCCTGATTTAACTTTTCGGACCATAACAGCAAGAATAAAAGAATAACTAATTTTCTGTCACTGTTTGACATTTTGTTTTTTCCATCTAACACTGAGATGAAATATATAAATTGCACACAACGTGAAAGTTTCTGTGATGTTCAGTTTGTGATTAGTTGTTTGTTGCTAAACAGCTGGCCGTTACATTCAAACACTGCATCTCTCCACACTATAATTGAATACTTTTGGTATCACAATGCAGTGTTAACCCCCTTACAAAATTACAAGTGTGATGCTTCCAGGGCTTTAAAAATGCCTGGGTTAAAATAGTTCAAATTAGGTTAATATATTTACAAGAATTACACTGTGAAAACTGATTTTGCTTGCTCAGATACCTGTACTGGACTGACTGGGGTTCCCCTGCTAAAATTGAACGAGCCACACTTGGTGGAAACTTCCGGATCCCAATTGTAAACACAAGCCTCTCTCAGCCTAATGCTCTGTCTTTGGATTATGAGGAACGACTGCTGTATTGGGCTGATGCAACACTGTGAGTTTATACTGACCTCATTTTTACATCAGTTTTGTTTGTTGAATATTTGTTGTTTGCAGTAAAAATAATGTTTCACTGTCTTTGTCACAGGGATAAGATTGAGCGTGCCTCTTTGACTGGAGAGAACAGGGAGATCATTCTTAGTCAGACACAGTACCCATTTTCTGTGACAGTGTTCCAGCAGGATATCTACTGGACTGACTGGAACACACGGATCGTGTACCGCGCCAACAAGGACGACGGTTCTGGTCTGACTATAATGGCCACCAATCTCCAATACAGACCCAATGACATCCACGTCTTCTCTGCCAGCAGGCAGGAGAGCTGCTCGAGTCCCTGCCAGCTGTTCAATGGAGGCTGCAGCCATGTTTGTGTCCCAGGTTGGTCTAAATGCACTTATTTGACTTTCAAGGATATATATATAATATATATGCAGTGGGTGCCAAAAGCCTGAGACTTAAAATTTTTAAACAAAGAAATAATATAACGGATTCTACACTACATCATTAATCATTTATGTAATTGATATTTTGACTATTTGTACATACAGTAAGATCTTTTTCCACTAAAGCGCTTTTGACCATTCTCAAGTCATGCTGGAGAATAAGATCACCTGGTTTTACACATGCATGGAGTTCATGCAGTTTGAGTGTTACTTTAATTAAAGCAAAAGAGAAAATATTAAGAAATTTTGATATTTTTAAGTTCTTCAGTCAAATTTCAATGCTGATCATAAAATGTATGATATAAATATATACTTTGTTAAGAAATGCAAAATGGGAACATTTTTACTTGCTCTTAGACTTTTGGACCCCACTGTATGCAAATTCCAAGTTGATTGATTAGTTTTTTTCTCTTTTGGGAAGATTACATCTCTCATGTCTTTCATCTGTCACTTTATCTCAGGTCCAACTGGTCCAGAGTGTCAGTGTCCCAGCACTGGTAACTGGTATCTGGCCAACGATGGGAAAGACTGCATCCCTGACAATGGGCAGCGGTGCCATGCAGATCAATTCACCTGTCTAGATGGAAGCTGTTTTGCCCAGCGCTGGAAATGTGATGGCTACAGGGACTGCATAGATGGCTCAGATGAGCTCGAGAGAGTGTGTGGTAAGTAACCTTACCAATTGTTTAATTTAAATTGTTTGCAAAAAATTTTTTAATTTAGTTTTGTACCATTTTTTTATACCTAAATTTAAAAAAATGCAAACAGTAATGTGCCTTCTACAGCTTTCCACACCTGCTCACCCACGGAATTCACCTGTGATAACGGAGGCTGTGTGCCTCTGTACTATGTGTGTGACTACACAAACGACTGTGGAGATAACAGCGACGAGCATGGCTGTCCCTTCCCAACCTGTAACCCTACCACAGAGTTCACCTGTGCTAACGGGCGCTGCATCAGTGCAGCTTTTGTGTGTGATGGATTCAATGACTGCCGAGACAACGGCACCACGGATGAAGTTAACTGTCGTGAGTGCAGTATTTTATTTAAATAATATTACAGTATTTCTTAATATTTTTAATTAGGTTTTCAGTTTTAATTTGTAGTTGTAGTAATTGTATGTGCTTTTGTCTTTTTTTAATATTTTTTTTTTACTATTTTTATATAGCATTTTTATTTTTATTTTAATTTTAGTACTTTAACCTAGACACATTTTATTTCATTTAGTTGCCAATACAACATTTCTAAAGTTTTTTTTAAGGTTAAGTTTTTTTTACCTAATATTTACCTAATAGTTATTTTATTTTAGCTTAATTTTAATTAATCAATAGTTTTAGGTTTAGTTATCAATAACACTGTGTGATTGACATCAACATCCACAACTGCATGGAATTTTCTCCCTTTGTTCCCATTTTATCTAAAAGAAGCTCTGAACAAGATTCTCTTTAGCTGGTGTAATAAAGGTGAAATGTATCATTTCTTGTAACAGAGAAAAAACATTTATTTGATTTATTAGCGGACAGAACCTGTGCACCCGGCTTAGTAAAATGTGACACCACCAACATCTGCATTTCTTCAAGTAGCCTGTGTGATGGCTTTAATAACTGTGGGGACAACAGTGATGAAAATCCACTCTTCTGTGGTGAGTTTCAGGGTCACAGCTTTTAGCTATTGCCTGCAGATGTCATTCATGATGATTGACATTTTGATTTTGAGCGAATATATGAAAAAAAAATACTCATGCGTGTCCTTAAAGTCATGTCCTGTACTGCTTGTTGTTAACAGCTAGCCGGACTTGCTCGGCAGATGAGTTCCGCTGTGATAACGGGAAGTGTATTCCCCAGTTATGGGTGTGTGATCGCATCCCAGATTGTTTGGACGGCACAGATGAGCCACCCACCTGCGGTACATGTCAAATCCCTCACCTGACTGTGAAGTAGATCCTGGAATCACTATCTAATACTCTCTTTGTTTCTTTCCACAGAGGATCAGGTTCGTACTTGTAACCCTCAGCAGTTTAGCTGTGCGAATGGACACTGCATTTTGGCAATGTGGGTATGTGATGGCAACAACGACTGTGGAGACAACAGTGACGAAGCCCAGGAACTGCAGTGCGGTGAGGCCTATCATCCATTTTCAAGATGGTAGAAACCAGCAAATCAATGCATATTGGTTCTAGTCTGACTATTATTTTGTATTTCAGGATCAAGGACTTGTAACCCCAGCGATTTCACGTGCCCCACTTGGTACCCAGGCTCTCCACGCTGTATTCCTTGGAGTTATGTGTGCGATGGTGAGAAGGATTGCACAGATGCCGCAGATGAGCTGCACAACTGCCCCAACCGTACCTGCCACATGAATGAGTTTGCTTGTGCCAATGGTCGCTGCATTCTGGTGCCCTTCCAGTGAGTTCTTCCTCTCCAGCCATATCTCACGCAAACAACATATCAAATCAAATGCTTCTCAAAATCTTTATAAAATCTGTATTGTGCATCTAAATCTCCTCCTCAGCTGTGACCGTGTGAATGACTGTGGGGACAGCAGTGATGAGATCGGCTGCGTGTACCGCACCTGCTCCAGTCAAGAGTTCACCTGTCAGAATGGAGTGTGTATTCCATCGACGTATGTATGTGATGGTTATATAGACTGTCAGGATGGCACTGATGAACTCGAGGGCTTGTGCAGGAGTCCAGAACCCACCTGTGCACCTGGAGAATTCATGTGCAATTCTGGGGAGTGCATTGACATCCACAAGGTCTGCGACCATCAAAGGGACTGCTCTGACAACAGTGATGAGAAGGGCTGTGGTAAGACACCACTCGTATTTAGAAAAAGGCTCACTTTTGGAATGTGCCCAAAATAACAAATACAATATTTGGCAAGGCAAGAATAAGGACTTCAAAATTAATGATGAATTCTATTTATTATATAAATTGTGTGTTTACTGATTATCCAACACTCACAAGGGTAAAGCATCATTTTATTAAAATGTGGTGAAAATTACAAGGGTGAGACTGTAAAGCCAATATGACTACGAGTAATGAAATGCCTACTATGAAACGAGCAATGAATTTATGAATTATACAAGGCATATTTGTGGTATGGAAATGGACTAGTGTTACATCTAAAAATCGACTTTTTAGTTTTGACACACTGATGAATTAGGCCCCACACACATACAATTCTATCTGCATGCATTTCCAATTCAGGTCATACTGTCATTACAGCAGACACGTACAAATAAATAAATAAAAAATTTAAATTCATTTGTAAATAGCACATTTATAATTACAATGGAACTAATGAACTGGACAAATTAGGTAATGATGTGCCTTTCTGTCCCTCCACAGGCATAAATGAGTGCAGTAACCCAGCCATTCACCAGTGTGCTCAGAACTGCGTAGACACCCAGACGGGTTACTACTGCTCCTGCAGGGATGGCTACAAACTCATGCCAGATGGCAAGGCCTGTGAGGATATAGACGAATGCAAAGAGGAGCCGGGAGTGTGCAGTCAGGTGTGCGAGAATGCTGTGGGTTCCTTCTATTGCAAGTGTGCACCGGGATACCTACGGGAGCCTGATGGACGCACCTGCCGGCAGAACAGTGGGATCGCACCGTACCTCCTCTACAGCAACCGTTACTATATCCGTAACCTGACCGCTGATGGAACATCCTCATCGGTGGTGCTGCAGGGACTATTGAACGTTGTTGCTCTGGACTTTGATACTACTGAGAAGCGTTTATACTGGGTGGATATTGGCACACAGCGCATTGAGAGGATGTATTTAGACGGGACAGGAAGGGAGGTCATATTGAAGAGTGACCTGGACGGAGCAGAAGGCCTGGCTGTGGACTGGGTGGGCCGGTAGGTTAATGAGGGACTTGATTCACTTATTCACTTAAAGGATGTTATAAAAACAAATGGGCAGAGTTAATCTATGGGTGGGTTTTTCCTTGCAGAAAGCTATACTGGGCAGATGTGATTATGGAAGCCATTCATGTCTCTGAACTTGATGGACGTTACCGGAAAAAACTCCTGAAAGGTTGTGTTGATGCCAACTCTACATACTGCTTCACCAATCCGCGGGCTGTTGCTGTTAACCCTAAATATGGGTGAGCTAAAGATAACACATATTTATTTTATTTGTTCAGTTGAACCATGTGTGCAAACTTTCCCTTTCCCATTTCTGGTCAGATGGCTATACTGGACAGACTGGGGGCGGACGGCTTTCATTGGCAGGGCTGGAATGGACGGAACCAACGTATCAGCTATCATCACTACCAAGCTAGTGTGGCCTCATGCCCTGACCATCGACTACACCAACAACAAGATCTTTTTTGCTGACGCTCACCTCAATTTCCTTGAGTAAGTTGTGTCCTGTACTGTATCCAAACCAAATCTGTTCTTCAGACAGTAACAGACAGGCCTGCTTTATGTAACACATACAGTATTATGAATATTATGAATCAGCATGGGAACCATTTCACCATTTGTATCACTCTGGTGGCAGCATTTCTCACAGCGATCATCAATGATGGAGGAGCAATCTCACTTTTAATTTTATAAACAGTACTGTTGTAGTGAAAAAGAATGTAGTTTTAAGAGAATGTAGTGGTTTAAACCTCAAATATCTGGTTTATAAGCACAGCTGTGATTTTATATATACCTGTACATTTGTATATGGTACCGATTCACCATGTACCTGTAGAATCTAGATTATAATGTCTATTTTCCAACAGTTATGCTGATATGGATGGACAAAACAGACATAGGGCTATAACAGGCTCCATGCCCCATGCTTTCGCACTGACCCTGTTTGAGGATTTGGTGTACTGGACCGACTGGAACACCCACACCATAGAGAGAGCCCACAAATACACTGGTGCTAACCGTGTTGTAATGGGAAACAACACACACCGCCCTAATGACATCCACATTTACCACCCTTACAGACAGCCACGCAGTAAGACTATATATCATTCATTTCACCATTAACTTGTACTTGTTAACTTGTATGATCCTTGTTTGAATGTTTTATTAACATTTTCCTAGGTGACAATCCCTGCAATGACCATCACCTGACCTGTAGTCACCTATGTCTGATTGGACCCGGTGGGACGATGGCCAGATGTGAGTGTCCAGATCACTTCATTGGTCTGGCAGTTGGCTTTAAGATACAGTGTGTGGCCGACTGCTCCAGCACTCAGTTCCGCTGTGGAGACAATGAGAAGTAAGTGAATCCATTCTCTAATGATAATTTAATGATCTTGAGCTCTTCCACTCTTACTTTTCTTCTCTGTTTGTCTTTTGTCTCCAGGTGCATTCCCATATGGTGGAAGTGTGATGGTCAGTCAGACTGTGGGGACGGCTCCGATGAGCCTCAGACATGTTCTCCACGTTACTGCCCAATTGGACGCTTCCAGTGCCAGGATGGGAACTGCACCTACCCGTTTTTCCTGTGTGATGGCCATAATGATTGCCCAGATGGATCTGATGAAGATGCTGCACTCTGCAGTATGCAACACTTTTATGCATTGTTATAATGACAGTAACAAGAACATTTGAAAAAGTTTACTTCAGTTAGTATCAACAGAACAGTTTTTGGTTGTGTTAATTATTGAATCCGGTAACTGAACTGCATAGTTTGGGTCCTGCTGCTAATTTATTTAATTAATAGTTACATGGCATTTGTACCCAGGTGACCATCGTTGCTCTGAGAACCAGTTCCAGTGTAAAAATAAGCACTGTATCCCAATATCTTGGCACTGCGATGGCATACAGGACTGTGCGGATGGCAGCGATGAGGAAGCTGACAGCTGTGCTGAGAAAACCTGCAAACCTGGACAGTTTCAATGCAAAAACGGACTCTGCATACCACCAAGCTATGTGTGTGACGCACAGAACGACTGTGGAGACCAATCAGATGAGCCATATGATGAGTGCAGTGAGTGTCATGTCCCTTTGGGAAAATGGGCCATTCATTAACAGCTTGGAGACCTTTGATATTTTTCTTTTTCGTAGTGGGTCCTGATCATAAGTGTGATGCAGACACTGAGTTCTCCTGTGATACAAACTATCGTTGTATACCTCTGTGGGCTGTGTGTGATGGCACCAATGACTGTCTAGACAACAGTGATGAGCAGAGCTGCCGTAAGTCCCATATAATGATTTAAAATATTCACAGGTTGACACACAACAGAAACAAAAAAGCTTCAAGACAAAACAGTTCTCCAGTAACAGAACAAAGGCAGCATAAAGGCAAATATGGGCTATAATGCCAATCACACGTTTGGATGCACCTGCTCATTCTATATTATTACTAATGTCCATATTTTAGCTTCTTCAAAGTCACTCTTCTTTGTCTAGATTCCAGCTCTGCACACTAACCAACATGAGGTGCATCTTGGGATGATTTTAAACAGTATTCAATGAGTTCTCTTCATGCAGGACACTCTTTGGCAGCTTTTTACTATCTTCACTAACTCATCTATTTAAAAAATAAAATTAAATTTTTGTTTTGTAAGTGTTTTGTTTGCATAAGATCTTAAATATTAGATTTAAAATGTAACAAGCCAGCTAATATTAGAGCCTCCTTTGTCATTATTCAACAATAAACATACATCCCTTTTGATGGATTATATAAAAGGGATTATAATTTAATTTACTTTGAACATTTATAAAATAAATAAAAATCAACCTCCACATTTTGCTGCATGCAGATGAGCTGACCTGTGACCCTCTGGGAGATTTCCGCTGTGATAATCACCGATGTGTACCCATTCGCTGGCGCTGTGATGGGAACAATGACTGTCGGGATGGATCTGATGAGAGAAACTGTGGTAAGTAACGTGTTGAGCCATCCATTACCTCTTAGGCATATACTGTATGGAGCTCAGAGTTTTCATGTATGTGCTCACAGAACCAAGACCTTGCTCTGAGAGCGAGTATCGCTGTGACAACCAGCAGTGCATTCCAGGATCTTGGGTTTGTGACCATGACAATGATTGTGGGGACAATTCTGATGAGCGAGACTGTGGTAAGTTAAAGTCAACATGAATGAAACCCATTCACTCTTTTAACTCTTTCCTTCTTTTCAACTTCCAACCAGCACAGGTCACTGAATAAGCAATGCATTTCTACTGTTCTCTTAGCTTTCTTACTAATCTAGTTGTCTAATAAACCTGACATTGTGTATTACAAATATTGTTGAATCTTTGACAACTTGCTTTCTTTCTCTTCTTTTGTAAGTCACTCTAGAATAAAGTGTCCATTAAATGCATGCACATGTTAATAGACATCAAGTCACTCCTGACATTTTTTATTTTTTATTTTTTATTTATTTATTAGAATATAGTGTTTCACTAAGAAATACATGACATATGGCAACAAATACTATATGCCACTGTTTACTAAATTCTACATGTATACAGATTAAGCATTAAAAATGCTAAAATACAGTACATGGATTCCCCTTTTTTAGATTATTTTTGGATTGACCAAGTATTTTATTTTGTGTGCAGAGCTGCGGACCTGTCGTCCTGGAACATTCCAGTGTACATCTGGACACTGCATCCCAGAAGCTCTTAAATGTGATGGTTTTGCCGACTGCCTGGACTACTCTGATGAGTCCACCTGCCGTGAGTGTGCTGGGCTTGAAATATATGGACGTTTAAAATCTTCTTATTGCTTATACTGAAAATCTTGATATTATTCTGTACTTTTTGTTTTCCCAACAGCAACTCGCTATCCTGGAGGACGCTGGTGTCCGTCAAACCAGTTCCAGTGTAACAACAAGCTATGTGTGAACCAGCAGTGGGTATGTGATGGCTTCAACGACTGTGGAGACCGCTCAGATGAGCAACTCAGCCTCTGCTGTAAGACATTATAAGAAAATGAAATTATTATTTTTGTAGATAATTTTAACCATTACAATTATAATACATGTCTCTTTAAGGTGTGATAAGTCTAAACCTAAACCTGGAAATTCATGTTGGCTTAAGCTGGTCTTTTCAGCAAGAAATTGTTAACAGTGTCAAAATTATTCTGTGATCAGGGAACATTACATGTGAAATGCCAGCCAAATTCCGCTGTGACAGTGGCTACTGCATTTATAGTGGTCTCATGTGCAACCAAAAAGACGACTGTGGGGATGGCAGTGACGAAAAGGAGGACAACTGTAAGATATTCACACATATCTTTTTATACAACAACTAAAATCAAACTCTCTAAATTTACCATAATACACTACTTCAAAAGCTTAGGGTTGCTAAGATTTTTTTTTTTTTTTTAAGTCTCTTAAGCTCACCAAGGCTGCAGTTAAAAGAGTATATTATTTCTTTTAGACATAATCCTTATTTTATATGTTATATAAAACTTAGGGCTGGTAATTTAACGCGTTAATTAGATTAATTAATTACGGTGGGGAAAACGCGTTAAAATTATTAACGCATTTAAGGCACTTGCCCCGCCCCAGACCTACGTGGGTCATGTGACATTTCATACAGTTGATGGATGACAAATATGATCTGATGGTGATGATCCGCATCAAGTCGAACAAGCCTCAATGGACCATTCATAACGAGAACCATTTACTTCAATCCTGAATGTATCAGCCGTGCAAATTAATCAAATGAATGAATAAATGACTCGATGACTTAATCATTAAGACATTTACCACCACCTACTGGCAGTTTTAGTTTATTATTTAGAGTATGATTTCATTAAAGAAATAATTTAATATTCCCATAGTAATAATAATAATTATTAGTAAATAATAATTAAATTATTAAAAGTATAGTTCACCCACCCAAAAATGAAAATTGTGCCATCATTTACTCACCCTCATGGTCCTAAAGAGTATATGTAATAAATGTTATGTTGAATCAAACAAAATATTTCTTGCTGAAACAACTTTTTATCATGTCTGTTTGATGCCTTACACAACAATGACTTTAAATTATCTTTTGGGAGTAATTTCTCAGCTAAATTTGAATTGCGATTAATTTGCGATTAATTCGATTAATTAATCACCACATCATGTAATTAATTAGATTAAAAAATGTAATCGCTTACCAGCCCTAATAAAAATATATTAGAAAATATTAAAAAGTATCATATTTGAAGAAAATAATTTTAATTTTTTTTATATTTTTATATAAAATGCAACCCTTTGTCTAAACACGAGTTGCATTCTGATTTCCCTTGATGCTGAATACTTGTTGGCTGCTTAGCATTAAAAAAAATAAAGTAACATTTTTTTAGTGTATTATTTTTCAGAATTCTTTGTTAAAATAGAAAGTTCAAAAGAAGAGAATTGATTTGAAATAGATTTTTTTGTAACATTATAAATGTCTTTTACTGGCACTTTTTATTTTTATTTTTTATTTTTTTAAAAAAACAAATATCTTACTGACCCCAAACTTTTGAACCTCGATAACGTTTGTGAGATTAGTGTTTAAAACACAAATAAAAGTCAATTTGGCAATAAGGTAAGTCAAATTAAAATAAAGTTTTATCATTTTAAGTAGTTGTAGTTTATGTTTTTTATGTTAAGTAACTATACTGAAAAAACAACAAAAATACTGATTAAGAAAGCAATACTGATTAAATTGCAGTGTGGTTGCATACTGTATTATGTATCTAGTGTAATATATACTTTTGTTATGGTTAATGACGACCATATGAATTGTGTTTTTAAATCAGGTCAGGAACCCACTCTCGCCCCCTGTACGCCCAATGAGTTTAAATGCACTAATGGCCACTGTGTGGCTCTGCCTTACGTGTGTGACCACAACGACAACTGTGGAGACCTTACAGATGAGCTGGGCTGCAGTAAGTCAACAAATATTATCAAATATGATCAGTATACTGTGTGTAGTAATCCTTATGTTATAATCGAATATTGTGAGAATTGCCTTAGATTTTGAGGTAGTTGATGAGTGACTCTTTTCAGATTTTGGCCACGACCGCAACTGTGATGAGAAATTATGTCAGCACGAGTGTACAAACCTGAACAGCACAGGCTTCATCTGCTCTTGTAAACCCGGCTATGCTGTGGATCCAGATAACACCTTCCGCTGCAATGGTAGACACCAAACAGACATATAAAGTACCTTTCTCTTTCTCTTCAGAGTGGAGGAAGCTTTTGCTGCTAGTCTAATGTTTTTTTCAAAATCAGAATCTGTAATCTTTAAACAGAATGTTTCACCTGTGTATGCCGGTACATCTTCCTTATCCCACGCTGTTTTTCATGCCTGTCTCTTGCACCCTGCAGATATAGATGAGTGTTTAGAGTATGGCACATGCCCGCAGGCCTGCAAAAACACTAAAGGAAGCTATGACTGTGATTGTGCCCTGGGTTACAGGAAAGTGGGCACAGGCAATCAGTGTGAGGCTGAAGGTAGGATAGAAATTGTAAGGAACCACAGACAAGAATTTCTGAGCCTGTGTAGCATCTTTAAGCTCTTCTTTCTTAGGTCCTGGACCACTGCTCCTGCTGCCAGAGAACATTCGCATCCGACGCTACAACCTCCAGACAGAGGAATATCATGACTTTTTGCAGGAAGAGGAGCGCATTGTGGCGCTGGACTACGATTGGGACCACAACAACACTGGACTTAGTATGTACTCAATTCTAGGACCTCAGCCCCTCAAAAATTTAATTACTCCTGTACTCTGTATTATGGAAGCCCATTTCCGAATAAGAAAAAAAACATCCTTTGGGTAAATCATAATTATGAGACAAATAGTTATAATTATGATGAAATATTTGACTTTTTTATGTCTTAATTATGACATTATATATCATAACTATATAACATTTTTGACTTATGTACGTTTCATAGTTTTGACTTTTGATTTAAACTTTTTTTTGTCCTGAATTACCTAAAAAAAAAAATGTTCCCTTTGTGGCAGAAATGGGCTTCAATACTCTGTAATATACGCCCAACACCTGGCTGTCCCTCCAAAGACACAAATAATAAATTAGAAACGTATATATATACTAAATAAATGCGCATAACATTAAATTTGATCAAAATGAAATTTGAGTTACAGTATTGCATTATTTGTGCTTAATGTGATTTGTCAACTCTCTTCAGGTATGGCGTATTTTACAGTAGAAGGAAATGGTGCATTGCCTGGTGCTATTAAAAGAGCTTATCTGCCAGCTGTGGATGATCATAATAATAACATTGCTGTTGCTGTCAAGCTGGACATCAAGTACATCACCAAGCCTTATGGCATTGCAGTGGACTGGGTTGGCAGGTAAAAAACTAAACTAAATATTCAAACTCTGCACTGAAGCTGAATGATTTAAAAATAATAATAATGGTTTTGGCAAAAGCAGATAATGAATCAGCCTGTAACAGCTCATGAGCCTTTAATATACTATGCAGGAATTTGTACTGGACTGATGCGCAGCTCAAACGTCTGGAGGTGGCCTTGTTGGATGGGCGTTACAGGAAGCATCTGATTAAGACTGACCTGCAAGAACCCAATTCTGTGGCTGTAAACCCTCATTCGGGGTGAGACTTACATCCTATTTGGCTGTGGTGTGTTTAAAGGGATAGTTCACTCCAAAATAAAACTATTTTGGTGTAATTTCTGTATCATGTCATTCCAAATCTACATTATAGTTATTTTAGTTCTGGAGCACATAAGGAAAAATAAAGAAAATGAGAAAAAAGCACCAAAAAATTAGAAAGCTCTATTTCTCCTTCAAGCTCACCTACATTTAAATGCCAATGTTTGAATTTTGTTTTGTCATGTTGTGATGCAGCATGCTCTACTGGATAGACAATGGCAACATGCCACGTATCGAAGGCTCCTGGTTGGATGGTCAAGAGAGAATGGTTCTTGTGGACAGTGCTTTGGGTTGGCCTACAGGCCTGTCCATCGACTTCACAAACAGCGACCGGATCTATTGGTCAGATGCAAAGGAGAGTCGCATTGAGTCCATACTGCCAGATGGACAGAGCAGACAAATATCAGTTTTCATAGGTAAAAGTTTGACTGACTCAATTTAAAGTTTTACTTGAAAGTACAGTTAAAATTGTTTTTATAATCTTGTCATGCTTTAAAGAAAAGCACTTATCTTGATGTGTTGGCTAATATACTTAAACACATGTAAAGTACTTGTTTATAATTTTAACTGTAGTGTTATTCAATATTACATTTAAAAATAAATCTATTTAAAATTTATTCAGCACTACACTTTAACCACATAATTTAAAGGCAATAGAAGTAATTTTGAAAATACATGTAATGATGTATTTAAGTTCTACTTGAGCAAGTGAAAAAAACACTCAAAATTCAGCTATTTGCCTTTAATATAAATTTCAACTATAACGCATTTTAATTGTAATTAACAGGTAATTAGGTGTCTTAAAATATTTTAGTGTATGCTTTTAAAATAAAAAGGAACATTCATATCTTCTACCACATTTCTTCCCTGTCAGATGTAAGAAACCCTTTCAGTGTGAATGTATTTGAGGACCATGTGTATTGGAGCACGCAGGAGAAGGGTGAAGTGTTCAGACAGGACAAGTTTGGCAAAGGCACCAAAACCAGACTCCTAATAGCAGGACCTTGGCTTACCCAGATCAATGTCTACCAGCAGCAGAAATACAAATCTATAGCCTGTGAGTAACCACAATAAAAGCGAGATTTGCATGATGACCTATAAATCCAGTCTGTGTTTAAACTTAAGCTATCTTTTATTATTATGCTGATATAAAAAATGTCATGATGGTAGTTAGGATTTTGTTGGTAGCCACTTAAAGTTATATAAAATGTAATTATGGTAGTTAGGATTTTGTTGGCTGCCATTGAAAGTGATTTTATAGATATATAGTGTGTTGAACTGTGTCTGCCCCACAGTGAAGAACCCTTGTAAGGGCACATGCAGTCACCTGTGTCTGCTGAGGCCGGGAGGCTACACCTGTGCCTGCCCAGAGGGCACCAGCTTCTTCCCTGGCAGCAGTACTGAATGTGACACAGGTGCCTTTTATACTCCTTATCTGTCTTTATAGTCATCTTAACGATATGACCATAAACCAACTCATTTTAGCTATTGCAACCAACACTGTTGACGTCAATCTCCGGGTTTCCAGTAATAAAAAAAAATATATAAGTACTTACACTAAGAACGTGTGTCACATTTTACTGTTCAGCTCTAAATATAGCAGCCGCTCCCATCCAATTGTTTTTGTGATGTTTGATTTGATAGGGTTTGAGCCTGAACCCACCATGCCCCCTCCATGCCAGTGCAAGAACGGTGGAACCTGTTATTTTGATGACAATAAGGCACTCTGCATGTAAGCTTGTGATCTGATATTGACATGGATGTTTCATAAGAAAAAAGTATATAAAAAGCAGGGATGGATAAGCTTATGGATGTGGTAATGCGAACTGTTCATTCCCCCCTTATAGTTGCCCACCTGAATGGAAAGGAGATTTCTGCGAGACCAGTGTTTATGGTGTAGTCACAACCTCAGGTAAAATTTATGGCAGTACATGATATCACCAAATAAGATATTATGCAGCAACTTTTCAAGCTGTTGTCTTAGGCAAACAAACAAGATGACATGACCCAAATCTTGTCTCTCTTTCTGTGCATTCACAGTTGCTATTGCTCTTGGAGTTACAGCTGTTATAGCTCTTTTCCTGGTTTGCCTGATATATTCTGCAAAAAAGAAGGAGAAAATTATTAACACTCTACATAACATTAATCTGCCTATTAGTGTATCTAACATCAGTAGGCCCAACTTCTGGTGAGAATGAAAAAAGTGTATAATAAATATTAGAAAAAAAGTGAATATAATGAATGTAAATATTGTGCAGATATTATATACAGTTGCAGTATATAACAAAATAAACCTTAGGTTTGGTTTTACTTCATATAATTAGGGGTGGTAACTCTGAACGTTTTAACAACCCATCTGAATCGGAGAATGACAGCAGCAACTTTCCGAAAGAGGTTTGTTCTCACCATGTATTTTAAAACATATCCAAAATATAGCATGTCTAGTTTATTATAAACACACACTACCTGGGTCAGTTAGTTTTTTTAAATATAAATTGATCATTTTATTCAGGAATTTGATCAAAATAAATTGATCAAAAGTGACAGTAAAGACATTTATAATGTTACAAAAAAATCAATTAAAAAAAAATCTATCATTTTGAAATTCCTATTCATCAAAGAATGCTAAAAAAGAATCAGTTTCCACAACAATATTTAGCAGCGCAACTGTCAACACTAATAATAAGAAAACACTAATAACACTAATAATAATAAGAAAAAAAAGGTTCACGTCAGTTAGAGGTTTGTTTGCCATGTTAATACCTTTTGCCCTTTGGTCAATATCAGGAATCCAGCACCTCATTAGAAGTGGAGGGAAAAGGAAGGAGTTTTGAGAACCCAGCATACAGCGAGGATGCGCAGGGATCTCCTGCTGCACCTACTGCTGTAGCCACTACAGTCATGAATGGGCCTGCCAAAGTATGACCTCTACTGGCAGAAAGGGTTTACTGCATGTTGTCTGTATTTATGTCAAATATTTTTACGTTTAGTGCTAGACTGGATATTTTTGGTGAACTATTCCTTTTTCACCCAGACTTTTGGATGAACTGCCCCTTAAATATTGACTGAAATTGTGAACTGAATCATTTAAAAGCTTTTTTGGCTCATTGTTTTTTTTTTCTCTCTCTCTTACTTTCTCTTACTTTCAGGAGAGTGTTGAAAACCCAATGTATGCTGCTGAGTTGAGCTTTGTGACCCAGCCAATTGATGGTGCAACCCCTGTCAAAGCAGATGCCACACCAGTCAACACTGAACCTGACAAGGTTAGCCAAAGTGACAGTAACCACATGATGCATGCTTTATTGTCTTGGAAATGGTCTTGCTTTGTTTGGTTGTGTGATTGGGTCAGACTTTGAGAATCCAGCAACCATTCAGATAAAGAAGGACGGCAAGCAATTATTAACCATTAGCTCCTTCATTCATTTAGATTTAGTATACCACCCCAGCCAATGCGCTCACAAGGCAGCAAATACATTAGGGATGTAGCTGTACACAAAAATGATGGTTTGATATATACCTCTGTTTTGAATTTGAGGTTTATTATGTTTTTGGTACAGCAGGGGAAAACTAAATATAAAATTGCCTTTTTTTGTATTAAATGGTGGCATACTGAAAAAACTACACTATACCCACTGTAACACACTCTTAGTAAACTGCAGTATATGGTGCTATTTTAATGGGGGAAGAGATTTTAAAAGCTTCCACTTCTGGATGCAATATATATGTGTATATATATATATATATATATATATATATATATATTCCAGGTAAGAACATTTTAAAGATCCAACCGAATTAGGCTTTTATTTACATCTGAATAATGATCAACACACATACATAGAGCACATCACATACTGTATGGTAAACAAGGAAGCTCAAACATTGAAATGTGATGTACAACATTGCATTCATTCAGTAAGCGTGTGCCAAACCGAAAGACCAGTACCAAAAATGTTTTGCTACAAATATGTGTACAGCTACACCTCTAAAATAAATAGTGTTAAACTTTTAGGTAAGATTTGGTTTCAGGCCTGTAAATGGGGCAAAGTCCTGGGGTTTGGGGTTTAAAACAAATCCTAACAGAATGTTTGAGCAATATCAACATAGTGCTGCCAGGCAAGCACTGTAGCAAAAAAAAAAAGCCCTAAACACACCCACACACAAGGAGTTATTCTGAAGATGTGACAGAAAGAAAGATATAGAGTATGTGGGAGAGGACACAGAGGAGTTAGAGAGACATCAATAAGAAACAGCACAAACCCACAGGTGACCTTCATACCTCACAGCATGTTATATAGAGATAGATCTGTTTTAGTTGAACCTGTTATGCCACTCAGTTCTGAGTGTGTCAGTCATTAGGTTGTGTCTTAATTTCTGGTTCCTTTTTTACACAGGCTGATACTTCACAGCTACAGAACGAGGTGGATATGCATGATATGTTCGACAATCCCTTATATATGGTGAGAAAAAGAGATAAAGATTGAATGCGTTCAGTCAGGGACTGTGTATGGGTTTGGGTAAATACCATGAATTGGTTTCATTTTGATGTACGAGGGAAGGATGTGTCCTAATAGTAATATAGTTCTGGCTCACCGATGTAAGCACACAGCGAGCCCTATTGACATCCCCTCTCTCCTTACTCTGCTGAAAGCAGAAAGATGAATTCTGTAATACAATGAAAGCTATAACAGTGTGCCGTGAAGGAGGGGCTCATTTAACAGCTCGTGAAGGCATGTCAAGGCCTCTGGGGAAAGAAAATTTCCCTCTCTGGTGAAGAAGGCAAAAGACCTTGAAGTGAAGTAAAAGAAGTGAAAGACCTTGAAAGTCTCCTTGAAAGTGATTGAGAGAGGCATCTATTATGTAGACATAAATAAAACTGATCTTTGCTGAAAAGAGCACGATTATAGACAAAAGGGACATATCTGATAATCTGAAATTATGATTTTCAAGTATACACTAAGGGTGAATATTTGGATTTTTTTGTGTTTTTGATAAAAGTCTCTTATGCTCACCAAGGCTGTAGTTAAAACAGATACACTGTTTTCCACATTGGTAATACCAATTGGTAAAACTAATAATAATTGATAATAACTGAGCAATTAATGGCACTGAAGATTGAATTAATGGCTGCTGAAAATTCAGCTTTGCCTTCACGGGAATAAATTACATTTTAAAATATATTCAAATAAAAAGACAGTTATTTTAAATTATGATATTATTTCACAATATTTTACTGCATTTTTTGATCAAATAAATGCAGCCTTGGTGAGCATAAGAGACTAACGTATATATATACGTATATTGTATTATCTGAGTATTACAATAAAATGATATGTGCATATAGAATTTTAATATAGTATGCTAAATTTTGTATATGGTATAAATAGCAAATCTATAATTTACGAATTCCTTAATTACTACAAACATAAATGTTTTTATTACTGTCATTTGCTATGGTTATGTTCTATGAATATGATACTTTTGGATTCTATTTTTTAACAGCTATCAAAGCATTCTCATAATATTCTATGCTATTTAAAAGTCAATATACTGCACTGTTTAGCAAGTGAGGCATGAACTGTAACTGAGTATCTCAAAATACTTAATCTGAAATAGACTAATGAAAGGTCAGACCCTCAGATGCTTAAAATATGGCTGTGACACAGATCTAGCTTGATTTGCTCCTTCGAGACCTGCGAGGAGATTGATTTTTGCAAATGCAGATTCATTCTCTTTTTGCTTAGTTCCTGCTCACTTACCATTCCCTCCATACCCGAGACATGATTTCCCCACATCAGCAGAAACGAAAGGCACCTAATGGCAACTAACGGCTTGGTAGATAGATGATTTAGTGATTCAAGTAAAATTGAAATGTTCCTCTGCTACCTCTGTGCTACCTCTTCTAAATTTGAGGTGAAGTGTCCAAAATTGTCTAAAACTGAGGAGAGAGACCTGATACACATTTCTTGTGTCTTGGCAGGATGCACCACAAACACACAGCCAGGGAGAATCTACAATCTGAAGACAATTTGAGAGCATCTTACAGGATCGGCTCTCAATCATTTCAGCAGCTAAGGTGTATGGCTGGTAAATTATGCCTGCAGTATACCATCCATCTTACTCGCATGTGATTTAGGTTTCTATTTACTGTGAGTTACAACAAAGTTTTGGACAGCACACATGCCATAAACTGTGAATAGTTTTGTTGATTGTTCTTTTTATTATATTTTTATAGATAAAGATTTGCACTGAGATCCTTCAGACTACTGTAAATTGTTGCAATGATTCATTTTAATTGACATATTCACTCTTTGAATGTTTTAGTGTATTTTTTTAGTATGTGTATGATTAACCACAATGCTGCTCGGTCTCGTTTGATATCATAATAATAAAGTATAATAATGTCTTGCAAAATGTTTTTGGGTGAGTTCTGTGAGGATTTTTAAATTTCATCAAAATGTAATCCTGAAAATAGAAACTGTGCCTTACACAATCATTTAAAAGTTGGCAAGATGTATATGAAATAAGTATATCAGGCTGCATTATAAATACAGCAAAAAAATAGTATGTAATTTAAAATTTAATTTGGCAAAGCATTACTTCAGTTTACAGTGTCACACGAATCGTGTAGTGGAGTAGTATACGCAGGTATACGGCGTATACCGACTTCTTTATCAGTCGGCTTTGCGTATACCCACTTCTAAATCCCCTCTGATGCGCATCATTCAGTAGTGTCCTGCATTAGCCAAAATCATGACAGTCCACCATGACTAGCTAATCAAATCGCATGTGAATAAATGCAAATATTCCCTAAACATACCCAGTAAAGACAGTGATGCGGTCAGAATGCGCCGGCTTCCCTTTGAATTTGATTGATGATTGCGCCCGCCTCTCATCTCGACAAATCACGTGAATGCAAGCGGAGTCGGTCTGGGGCTTGAGTGCATGTCAGGGAGGCGCGCAGAGTGATAAAATAATATTTAATTATTGACTCCTAATTTGAATCTGTACATTATAACGAAAACAATACCTTAAAAATGAAAAGAAGCAAGTTTTTGCAATCAGATTTTTTTTTAAACCGGTAAACTTTTCAGTTGAAGGATCCAGTAAATGAATGCCTTCAAATAGTAGCCTAAGTTCAAAACAGCTACTGAGAAAACCCGACCGATTTCATTAGAGATGGCTTAGAGTCACCTCCAGAATTATTATTTTCAGCGTGTATTTGGCTTAAAAGCACGAGTGTTTTATAATGGACGCTGCTGAAGCCTGAAGGTGTTTTTTTAGATTCTGAATGGATCCGTATAGAAGCCTGTACAGTCAGGTCAAGGCAGTAGGTTTAGTGATCTTTTGGCGTCTCCTTGTGGTCCTGTTTGATATTGCAGCTTGACTAGTGCTTAATTGTATTAAAAATGCTCTAAACAATTTAATTTTTTATTTTATTTTTGCACTATATAGTAGGCTATATAGATAAATTGTAAAAATGTATGGGGGAAGTAGGGGGTTACTATTTGCCCGTCACTGTATGCCATGGAAGAAACAGTCAGTCAAACATAGGAGTAGGCTGCACAATTAAAAAAATTTTTTTTTGGTATCAAATAGAGATCATGATCCTCCTACAGATAACTAAACAAAATAGCTTGTCTACTAGAGGCTCTGACAAAATGTTAATTGTTGCAGTCTATGTAATTTTTACATTTTAATTATTTATTGCAAAATCTGCACCTCTTTTGTGGCTAATATTATTTTCATAATGATCCTTACTCCGTGAAGTCAAGTAGCAGAAGTTACAGTAAGTGAAAATGTGTAAATACTACTGGCCCATTTTGGGGTGAACTAAATATGCAAGACTAGTCTTACGTCACTGTTTATAACACAGGCCGTTCATCCTTTGCCCATTAAAAAATGGGGACATAAATTAGGAGTATACCCACTTCTCCAGGCACCACTACACCACTGCACACGATCCTTCAGAAATCATTCTAATATGCTGATTTGGTGCTCAAGAAACTTCTCATTATTATCAATGTTGAAAACAGTTGTGCTGCTCACATTTTTTGTAACAGCTTAAAAGTCACTTTTGATCAACTTAATTAAATTGCTGATATAGTATGTGATCTAATAAAATACAACAAAAAAGATAAGGTAAGGGGGAAGACAATTATGACCCAGATTCCCATGAGTATAATAACACAACCTTCGATCTCAAATTATCCTCTTGACTCGCTTGTCAGAAAGAACATGCCAGCGTCCATTTTTGTTGCTATCCTAGTCTTCTACCTATGTGTAATACAAACACATTTTATTATGAAAAGTTACAAACACCAGGTTTTTGATGGAAGCATAAGTACATAAGTACAAGGACTGTTCAGATTCAGCGGCTGCCGATCAGCTCTTGCTGTATCACAGTGAGCATCACTAGAGGAGAGAGAGACGAAGAGGACCAGTGGGGGGATGGTGATAGAGCGATAGATTGAAGAAGGGCGGGCTGAAGATTGTATGTGAGCGAGAATGAGGGAGGGGGGGGAGGTAAGAAAGAACCGAGATACACTGAGCCAGTGTAGCAGGAATCGCCAGAGATGTCGAGGGTCTTTCCATGAAAGCGGAAACGCTCTCACGCACGCACGCACGTGCGGTGAAAGGTAAGACAAACGGGGGCGTTCTTCGTTTTGCATGCTGGGTGTATAATCCGCTCTGCAGACAGAGTGAACAGCAGGGGGAGGATTCAGCACTTAAAAGGATCTCAGCATCCAGTGATGCATTTTTCACTGACCACATTCCCTGACGGACAGTTTCGGGGAGACTCTGGGAAGCACGTCCGTTGGAATGAGGTAGGGGGATGCTGGGTGTACCTTAATATCTCTCAGATTCCCTTTATTTTGTAACAGTAAATGCATTCAAAGAGCATTACTGAATTAGGTGAACTGAAAAATAGTGATTTAAATGTTGTATTTTGGGTGTTTCCTGTTTTGTTCCTCCCAAACTTCTGCTTTGAGACTGTTTTGAGCCGTTTTGAATGTATTCCCTTGCATCTCTTTTGTGTTTTGTCATGACTGTGTGTGTGTGTGTGTGTGTGTGTGGTCAGGTTTACCTACATTATGGGTTTTAAGGAAAATGCTCAATAAACATACTAAATAATGTCTTAGTGACAATATAAAAATGCAAAATGGTTAATATAAGATGTTGGGGATAGATAATATAATGTGCTCTGTATAAAACCAGTAGAAGTCAATGAACAGTCTACAGCAGGGGTTTTCAAACTGGGGTCCATGACGCAAAGCCAGGGGGTCCGCAAAATAATTTGCTATCGGCCTACCGTATTTTCCGGACTGCAACTTGCGTTTTTTATCTTCTGAAACGTGCTATGATTTATATTCCAAAGTGACTTATATAATGCATTAATGTCAAATAAACAAAGCGTAACCACTTAAATGCATGCACTTCAAGGTATATAGAGCTAAATATATTTCTCATGTCTGTTTGACAAGTAGACAGTATTGCAGAGATTTTCTTCATTTTAGGAAGTGGTTCACAATCACATAGACCAAGACGGCAAGCGCATTTTGTTTGTTTTCTTTATTTTACAAAAGCACAACGTTTCACTGTCATTTTGAAGGTACACAAATAAAAATAGACCGTTTTGAATGATATCTTGCTCTTATCTGACGGATATCACATTTTTCCGCTGATATAAGGAATCCAAAGTGTTTGCGCTATAAATACAAGAATAAAGTTGTAAGAGCTGCAATCCATTTCTTATTGGTTAAAATGAACGAAGACTATCTTGTGTTTTTCACAAGCACCCACGGGATCGGCACCTATGGCATTTAAAATGATCGGCATTATAATTCATTTTTTATATATATATATATATATATATAGTATACATGTATACAACCTGGTGCAACTTTCCGGAAAATATGGTAAATTTAATTATATTATGCTGTAGTATTAAAAAGTACATGTACAATGGGAACCATTTGCACCAATAAAAAATTCATATTATGTTCATTCCTCCTACCCACATTCAACTTTAGCCTTAAACACTGTTATAATTATGAGGGGGTCCTTGGAAAATCCTCTCCCCTGTAAGGGGTCCCTGGCTCTGAAAAGTTTGAAAATCCCTGTTCTACAACATGTGTGTGTATGCAGGCATGCAAGATCATGCAACCTGTCAATTAATGAACCTGCTTGTAACACGTTTTTCAGGTGCATATGCAATATTGTGACGTGTTTTGATTTGATGGACAGGCTGTTTTCTGATAATCTACTGAATCTGAATGAATTAGGCTCTATCCCATGAGGCTCAGTGACTCCTGCTGATGTAATTTACGATAATCTTCTCCAAAGAGATTTAATTTGATGTGTTTGCTTGTGTCTACAAGCATTTATGTATATAATTCACACACACATACACACACCAAAAGAGAGCTAGAGCTGTCAGCACTAATGATGGCCTTTAGCAGTGCGTGATAGTGAAAGGGACAGATGGTGGCAGAAGGGTGGCTGAATGACCTTGTCCCCCAGCAGTGCACATTTTCAGCTTTACATGAATCATTCTGTAAGGACGAGAACTGGGCAAAAGAACTCCTATTCCTCTGGAGAAATAGAGGATGATAAAAGGTCAGGCCCAAGGTCTTCAGACTGCAAATCAAAAGTAACCATTTGCAATCTGGCATTCGTACTATTCAGGTTTTGTGTTTGTTTTGTGGCATTTTCTATATGACATTTTCACCAATGGTATGTTCAAATGGTTGGGCAGCTGAGCTGCAAAGTACTAGCAAGATGACCCTGATCTGAGCATATGTCTGGTGAGAATCTTCTCAATGCAGCTGCAGCATATGAGGAAGAATGGAGAGAGACACAGAGCAGCATAATCTTTCCATCACGCATGTCATAATCAGAGGGAAAGGGAAAGGGAAAGAGAAATAGAGAGATACTTAGAGGGCTTTTAGAAAACCAAAAGTCTGTAGTAAGGTTACAGCTTGTCTGGTACAAGTTTAAGTTTAAATGGACATACACCACTACGTTATCCCATAATAACAGAAACATTCACACTGTCACACAACTTAAACATTTCTCCAGTGGGATCAGAGGAACATGCAAAGTTTATAATTGGAACTTAAAAAGGTTCTACAATGGAATCTTTGTTAAAGTGCACTGCCTTTTCAAGAAACTCGTTTTCAAGCATGGCATTGAATGTTTAGGGCTATTTTGTATTGAGTTGTAGACAGGCTAAATGATTTAAGTCAAGTCAAGTCAAGTCACCTTTATTTATATAGCGCTGTTAACAATACAGATTGTGTCAAAGCAACTGTACAGCATTCATTAGGAAAATAGTGTCAATAATGCAAAGTGACAATAGTAAACACTAATTTTTCAGTTAAAGGCAGTTCATCATAGAATTCAGTGATGTCATCATCCAGCTCAGTTCAGTTTAAATATTATCTGTGCAATCAAGTCAACGATATCGCTGGAAATGAAGTGTCCCCAACTAAGCAAGCCAGAGGC